ATCCCTCACCTTGTCAACAAAGTCCATAGTGTTCTGTATGTGATGTTCTGAGCTGCCAACTAAAGGACCAAACCAACTGAAGGACTAAAGGTGTTTATTAGGTGTCAACGATAGCCATGTGATGTGAGTATCAGTCACATGGAGGCAGGGCTTAAAAGCCTGAATTTTGCCTTAAACTCAGACTGAAGAAGTCTCTTGGAGGAGAGACGAAACATTTCATTAGAGAAGAACCCGTCCAGAAGACCTACACAATTTTTTTTTCATTTTGCTCCCAGTAATGTTTCTCCTCTGCACAAAGAAATACTCAAATTAAATGAAACTCTCAAAAATTAACCATTCGTAGTATCCTCAACTGATTAACTTGGAGTCAACACAATTTTAGAAGGCTGCCACCTTATTCTATAAATAATGGCTTTAACCCATTTGACAGATTTTAAGCTAAAATTGGTGTGGTAATAGCTGACAGTCATTCACAACACAAACTCAGAGAAAATCACAGCAACTTGTGTAAGATCGCACAAGATATCACATAAAATTAGTTACAAAGTTTGACCAAAACTGATACACCTCAGTCGTTTCTCAACATGAGATGACATGAAGAGGAAGGCAATGAGCATTTCTTTGAGGAATGTGTGGCCTTTAATTTACAAGTTTTTTACTCATTAAAAGTACATTTTCTTTCTTTACATCCTACTGAACTGTGACACACATCCTAGCTAGACAGTTGTTGTGTGTCACGTCTTACCTCCGGTGATTTGTTGTCTGTGTGAGTGCTGTCACATGGAAAGTTCAGGGTGGGATGTTTGGGCAGACAGGAAGTGGCAGACGACCAGGTCCAACACGGCAGCTCGACATGATACCGACAGCAGGGGCACAGCACAGAGCAGACAGGCTGCAGCAGACTGTGGCTGCCAGGGCGGCGTGGCACGGCTCCCTCTCCAGCTGCCACACAGCGAGCACACAAGCTATGAGAGCACGGTAAAATCAGGGCAACGTTGTATTCTTTCTTACAGGCTGGGCACTGACTGCACTGCTGCAAGCAATCCATTCCTCCTTGTCTTGTCTCATCTTCTGTCCCACAAGTCTCTCATTTTTAGACAGAGGTTCTTTTGTTGTGTTATCCCTCCCCCTCCCCCCAGATTTAAATTAGCTTAAAATAATAAAATTGTTCCAGTGATATGCAGCCAAACTAGTTTCATTTACTCCACCCATAGAAATGAAACCTGACTGCACAAATCCAGCTAAAGTCTTCAGTAAAATAGGTCTTAGCCCCCGTGCAGGCACCATTAACAATCCTACCAATGGAGAGACACAGGTCTTATCCTGATTAAATCTTCTTCCTAGAAATCCACAAAGAGTAGAAAGACATCCCCATTGTGGAAAAGAAATGCCTCCTCTTGGCCAAAGCTGAAGCGCATTGTCACAAAAAAAGATAGGAAAAATGCATCTGAATTGATATGAAGAAATTCTTCTGGTGTGCTGCGCTGCCCGACTCACAGCTCACCACAGCAGGGGCAAACAGGTAGAATTATCTAACAGATAAAAGAGAGAGAAAGCGAGGCCAGCTCTTTGAGAGGTACTCATTGCTTGGCGTTGCCATGGTCACAGCTCTTAGTGAAAAGATGCTCAACTGGAAACAAATGCTACGGACCCTTCTGGACACACACATCTCAGTGTTAACAAAGGGCTCAATACATTTGTACATATGGGCAGAGCCACTCAGGCAGACCCCTGGACGGACAAACTGTTACTCACAGAAACACAATTTTCAGTCCTGCTACTCTGGATTTTCAGTGCTGTGATTCCCACATGGAGATTTTTCAACACATGTTCCACGATCAGATAATCAGACACAAATGTCAGAAACACAATGAATTGAAAATCTCTTCATAGTCCCTGAACATTTCCATAGTTTGTCGTATTACAGACACAATTTTCACAACATGAAGCACATACACTGTCCGGCCAAAAATAGTAACCACCTGGAATTAACTGAAGTCTTTGATGTGGGGTTGCTGCAGGTGGTCAGGTCTGGGTTCAGCAACATGTGCTCAAAGAATGAGGTCAGCTGACTACCTGAATATACTGAATGACCAGGTTATTCATCAATGGATTGCTTCTTCCCTGATGGCACAGACATATTCCAAGATGACAATGCCAGGATTCATGGGGCTCTTATTGTGAAAGAGTGGTTCAGGGAGCATGAGACATCATTTTCACACATGTATTGGCTCCACAGAGTCCACTGAGAATTTTTGGGATGAGATGGAGAAGGTCAGACTCTACCATCATCAATGCAAGATCTTGGTGGAAAATTAATGCAACATTGGATGGAAATAAATCTGGTGATGTAGAAACTTTTCCAAATAATGCCACAGAGAATGTGGGCTGTAATCAAAGATGAAGGTGGTCCAACTAAATATTAGAGTGTGTGACCTGCTTTGACCTGTATCTCCCTTTTCTTAAATGGCCAGCAAACCAGTCTGACCTTAACCCTGTAATTCTATGACCAGCACCTGCACATTTCACACTATAAATTGATATTATTAATTCCAACATCAGACAATTTAAAGCTGGGAAATCTGCACAACAAGTGAACTCTACTAATAAGGTGACTTCTGAAGGCAACTTGTTAAACTGGGTTTCAGTTACGGGGATCAAAGTAAAGGGGAGAAACATAAACACACTACACACTTTTCAGATTTTTATTTGTTAAAAAAATATGACACCTTGAATTACTTTCCTTTCCCTTCACAATCTTGCACTTTAAGGTAATCTGTCACCTAAACTCTCAGTAAAACTCTTTGAGGGTTGTGTTTGTAAGGTGACAAAATATGTAGAAGTTCAAGAAATTGTCATGATTTGTGTCTGTGCTTATGATTTAGTCTTAGTTTTCTGTCTTTTCCTCCTGTTTTTTTCCTGTCTGCCCTTTGCTCTAGCCCCGCCCACTCACACCTGATCCTCATGTTTCTTTCCCAGGTGTTTCTTGTCTTAACTCATTAGTTCTTCCTTTATATTCTGTCCTTTGTCCTCAGTCTTTGTCAGATCCTTGTTCTCTGTTCTCTGTTCTCTGTTCATGTTCCTGCCCAAAGACCTTGCTCTTGTTTGCTGCCACGTCAGTCCCTTTGTTTTTGTTTTAATAAATCACATTTTGCCACCTAACTCAGTTCTGTATCTTGGGGTTCTACTCAACCAAGCTCAATCGTAACAGAAATAAGAAATATTTTTCAAGTTTATTTTCTTGTCATAGTTTTTTTTCCCACTCATCATTGAAAAGACTAGTCTCTGTCTATAGATTGTTGCCCCTTCAGTCTTACATTAGATTGGGTGGGTGGTTAGCACACTGACAGATTATTGATGGTACAAAAAATGAAAAACTAACACTCTGGGTGAATTATGTAACTAAAAATGGTTGCCATGGCTTTGTTTACTTTTGTTGACAGCCACAAAAATCACAATAAAAGTTCATGAGGGAATGGATATACCTTGCCAGCATGATGAGCAGATAACAAAGTTCTTGAACTTTTTTGGCTCCTGTCAAGCATTTTTTAAATTTCTATGTTGAAATTTCTGAGAAGACAGTGATGAAAAGGTTTTGATTTGCACAATCTCATTATCCTTTTGTTCCCTGCAAAAATTTGCCTATTAGCAGATGATGAGGGTGAAGTCACACAAAGAAAACAACCTTTTGATAACCTTTTAGTTTTTTTTTTAAAGATGAAAGTTTGACTCTAAAAGTATCTTTGGCTCTGTTAACAATTCTTGGTATTGCAAATGACTTGATATTCTTGGAATTCTTGGTTGAATTGTTAAGGCCCCACATACTCGTGCATACTTCGGTCCATGGAGGTCCACGGGGACTCAAGGCAGACTCAATGCAGACTCAAAGCGGACATCCGCGGACTGGTCCGAGTTAAATTTTTTACGTCCGCGTTCACGGTGCGCACAATGGCATGTACTGTTCTGGGTGCGACACCAAGCTGATAAAGTCGAAAATCGGTGTCATTTGTGGACGAAATGGCGTCAAATCTTAAAAAGTGTCTCATGGAGGAGATTAGAAAACTTTATGATGCTTCAATGAAGGAATATACAGACTTTCAGCCAGCAACAAATTTGTGGGAGGAAAATTCTCAGATCCTGGGTAAGGTAGTTCTTTTCTTTATTTCTTTTATTATTTTAAAGCTAAAATGCAAACTATCTCTTCCTCCTGATCCTTGACATCATGACTGAAATTGTGAGAAATTAAAGAATTGGTCAGGTGGTCAGTATGAACTCTCACCGTCCGCGGACAATACATGCGGAGTCCGCATGGCTCATGGAATGCATACAGTACACCCGAGTATGTGGGAGCCTTTACTCCATCCAATTATTGGTAATGAACAAGAATTGAACCTGGAACTCTCTCCCCAAACACATCTGCGACTGCACAGACCTATCCACATTCAAATCACCTCAAAACCCACCTGAGAGAAAATATACATGGGTAGTCAACAAATGACGTCACACTAAAAGTGACAGGTACCACGCCCCTTTAGGGCGGGACATCCATATATGGTCAACTTCCGGTCATTCCTTCCTGTAGGATGTCCATATATGGTCAACTTCCGTTTCGTGACTTCCTCTTTTGATTTACCGTAACTATCCCCCTCCCTCATCCCCCTTGACTTCCAGTAACCCCTACCCACCCTTTTCCCCCCTCGATTTACCGTAACCCTAGCCCCCTCTTACCCCCCTCGAATTACTGTAAGCCTTGGCCACAACATCTTGTTTTTGTCCAGATGTTTTTATTGCAAAAGAGTTTGAGCTGCCATCAAGTCTATTATGCTGACCACAACATCCTGTTTTGAACAGGTGTCCACACATGCCATCTGTCTGCTCACCCTCCCTCTGCTCATCCCCCTCGATTTACCGTAACCCTAGCCCCCTCTTACCCCCTAGAATAGCTGTAAGCCGTGACCACAACATCTTGTTTTTGTCCAGATGTTTTTATTGCAAAAGAGTTTGAGCTGCCATCAAGTCTATTCTGCTGACCACAACATCCAGTTTTCAGCAGGTGTCCACACATGCCATCTGTCTGCTCACCCTCCCTCTCAGGGTTCGTGACTTCCTGCCAGGTGGTGAAACTTATCGTCCAATCAGTGGATAGGGTTAGACTTTAGACCCACCCCTCGGCCAATCAGATCATGTTTAAAGCATTAATCCCCGCCCCTCCTCGGTTCTCGGAGCGTTTAAAAGAACGCGTCTCGTTCATTCCGCACTACCATTGGCGAGAAGGCACCTTCAGCGTTCCTGACCCGTCACGACTTCCGTCAGTGCGGACAAGACCCCTGGCACAACCGCCTCTGACGCGACCGCTCCACAAGGAGCCAAACTTAAAGGTTCTTATATATTTTGTTTAATTCTGTTTAATATATATATAT